TTCGTGACTTCTTAAGACTGTACTTAAGACGGTCTTGAATATAAGATCTGACTATGAATACCGGCCATAGACTGCGTGAGATATTGCTGTGGTAGTATAAAAAGCCATATCGATGTGCGGCGCGCGGCGCGACATCTAGTGATTTTTCGGAGTTCGAGCTTTGCTTTAGGATCCCCAATGACTAGCTCAAGAAGCTTCGAATAGAAATGCCAACCTCATTTTCAGAATGCAACATTCCTCAGTTATCGATAATCATTACACATAAAACATGAAATTACCTGCATTTTCTAATAACAGAATATTAATATTATGATTTATAATTAAAAATTAGCAATTAAAGTTATCTTTTAATTTTAATAAATCATAAATTAGCCTTTTTCATTACTAAAAGATTTTCGTATATTGGATTGGTATTACCAATGAAAAACAATAGCATACCCTTCGTACCACCTACCCCGTAAGTGATCGACCATACTTCTTAATATCTGAAATTATTAAGTATTGCTAAAATCATAAAAAATGGTAAAAACTTTTTTTCTCAGTTTAGTCCATTCTGCCCCTATACGAAAGATTTATCATTACTTTCCAAACATCCTGTATATTTAGATACTGTATTTGTACATGTTAAATTTGGATTTTTCAAGGCTTATTGCGCGGAAACGGTTTATAGGATCAAGTTGTGATTTAGACATTTATTCAGAATAAAGAGAACTACAACATATATCAAAAAATTAGCCAAATCCGCAGAAAAATATTTTCTCATAAAATTAGTGCGGGGCCCTTTATGACTGTATGTGAGAAAGATAAATATTTATTATTTTTTTCTTTGTGTAGAATTTTTCTCACAATCAGTTACGTGAATCTAATTTATAGATGCATAGAGATTTGCCGAATAGCCAACATATAAATTATAATATTATACGTATAAGAATTTCATACATATGTGAGAATTTTTATTCTTCTAGATATATATTTTGTAAATAATTTTATATCATTATATAATATTGACTTACGACATGAAATAAAGCCTTCCATTCGGATTACAACGCACGAGCATGCATGAATAAGAAGTCATGTGTGTATTCAGTTTCATATAACTTTTAATCCAAATACGCAGTGATCTAAACGTAAATCTTTATGAGTAAAAACAGAAAGTATTCGAAGATACAATACAAAGAAATATACAAAAAAAGGCATTAAACCATAACGCTAGTTATCGTCAGCGAAAATAATGTATTCTCAAAAAATTATAATAAAGACGTTTCGGTAATAAATCAGACCATCTTCAGTTAAAATTCACATAAGGGTTTCGCATATAAAATAAGTACAATTAATAAAATTATTCAAGATGCTGTTATATAAAATTCATTATATTTATTCGAACTACCCAATAATTTGTTCATGCTATATCCATTCTTTCTTTGTACAGCAACTATTTTTCGGTAACGATCTTTATTAGTCTATGTCAAAAAGTATTGAAATATTGAAAGAAAATCCATCCCAGAATTGACAAAAATCCGCAGTGTAAAATATTGAGCACAAGATTTCCTGATTCTGTTATATTACAAGATAACAAACGTCAATTAAATAAAATTTATTTGTATAATACTAAATTCAAAATTATTTACCTGTGTTAACAATATTTCGCAGCTCATGCAGGATTTAGAATTTTAGAAGAATCAACTTTCTGAGTTAAAACTGAAATGCGTAGTTCTATAACTGAGTCGATATATTTATACCAATCTATGTGGCGCTGTTGGCTATTCTAATATCAGGCATTAGTTGCTGAATTTAATAGAGATAAATATATTTTAGGAAATTTTTCCGTATCAGTTTATTTGTTAATTCCGTTAATATGTTTTTTAATAAATATCATTTCAGATGTGAGTCTCTTGTGTAGAGAAGGTTCTATATCAACGATACAAAGATTTATTCATTTTGATATTATTTTATAAATTGATTTTGGAATGGTAATAGTTATGTAGTTTGTAAATCTACCAGAGAGGATCTATCATTGAAATATCAAGGATGCACATAATATGTGTAACAGTCTTTGTTTCTGTAGCAAGAGTTTATACAAATGGATACTAACGGCTAAACCGTCGTTTGTAAATTTTCTAATCGGTTCTACGTATATATTTATAATTTTTCAGTAATCACAAATAACAATTATATTTTCCCTTGACGTTAATCGCTTAGGCTCAGTTTCACAACAGATGGTTAACTCTTAATCGAAGTTTAACTTGTTCTTCATCTTTTTCTAATGCTAGGATTGGAAAGAGATGAGAAATAAGTTGAACCTCGGTTAAACGTTAACCGTGAGTTGTGAAACTGAATCTTAATCGTTAATCGTTGATTTGGAAAAATCACGATTTTTATACACATTTTCTTTCTTTCATGATGTTTTTGAGGAAAACATGTTGTCTTTTGTACTACACAAACGAACATAAAACCGAATGTGCTGTATCACATGTAGAGATAGTAAGAAGATAAAAAGAGTAAGGAAGATCAATTCAACATCAAACTTACCGATATCAGTTACATGGCCTTACTTTCAGTACCATTGAACAGTCACTTATTCCGTTTCATGTCGCATACATAATTCATTAATTATATATTCGTGATTTTTGCGAAATTTTGTTGTTAAATTTAGCATCCGATATCTTTTTTTGTATCTTTTGTGTTATTTATGTATGTATGTGCAAAATGCACTTTGGTAGGTGATCTTCATTTAGTCTTTACTAATCTTCATTAAAATGTACATTTGGCTCGACTTAACACAGAATAATCTAAGAATTAAGTCGAAAGTGTTTATTTGTTATAACAATTTTTATATCGACGAAAACGAAACGAAATAATAGGATTTTCTTTATTGATGATCCAAACATTAATCGTTCATCTTGCCCATGACCGAGTAGTGATGCTTAAATAGTACAGCTAGTTTAAGATGATCTATTCTTCAATATCATAGAATGTGTCGCAGTTGTTGGCTCTACCATCATTTGACTCTCGATTTAATAATCATCAAGAAATGACGGCTGATAAAGAATTGAGTGAATAGATATGAAGTGAATTAAAAGAAAAAAAAGAACATTAATTGGTAAATACTTTTTTGCAGGTGGATTTATTGGGGACTACTTATGCAAACAATTTTCTGAACTTCAACGATTGCAAGGTAAGTAGAAAATGCAGGTGCGGCACATATCATGTGTCGGTTAATTCGTATCTAAACGCCATTTATTTGTAGTCTTTGAAAGATTATGTAGCATTGACTCTGAGAAATAAATGATATCCAACAAGAATCGCAAAGCAATGGAAGTCTATCTGAAGAGTTACATGCGAATATGGTGTTTATTTGCTTGCTGTGCCGGATGGTTCCGGAGACACTACACATCTTCATTCATCTTTGGAGAAATGTACCGTGAGTATTTGAAAATTGCTTAAGAGATTTTAATGCTTTCATGGTATGGAAATGTGAATTAGGAATACATAGTAAGAAACGAAAAATATCTGAATAAACCGGTTACATGTTATCGCGCAAGAGGCATTATTCGTTATTCTGGTCTTAAAGTAATAACAATAAACAAATGAAGTAGCAAGTCATTTAATTGGAAAGGGTGATATTTATTTATAATAATATTTCCAGATAAAGAATTACGCGAATCCTGTGATCTCTTTCGAGATCTGTATATAAGAATTGCACTAAAATGGGGATTAATTCATACTTTATTGATAACGACATATTCTTTGTGGACAGCATTCTGGAAAATTATCAGCATACCGGAAAATATCAGTTGACGGTATTAGCACATTGTCTTTAGATTTTTCGCAAGTAAGTGTAGGGCATCTGGAACGAAACAAAATAGAATTTGATAAGATTAGATTGTAAATGAGAGGTTTGATAAAAAAAATCTCTTTTTCATTAGCATTAAAATGACGACAGAATGTCATAGTTGTGCAGACCCCATTGCGAAATATTGAGTGTTGATTGTTTAGAATATATATAGTCATTAGAGAAAAAAAGCAGAAACTTAAAAATGTGAATTGGTATGAGATTTTCTATTATATATATATATATCGTTTTTCACTGACAGAGCTGGTGCGCACTCAGTGCACTTTAAAGCCGTTGTACAAAAATCGATGTAAAGATGTACGTTTAATACAAATATAGAATGAATTTAATCCTCAATATATTTTATTGTACTATTTGATAAAATATACGTTGGGTAATATATTAATTGAGGTGTCTCACTTTTATATTCAGATTAGGTTAATGTACAACAGCTTTAATGTGCACTGAGTGCGCACCACTTCTATTACCAGTGGGAAATGCATTTCGATTTTTTCTATTTGGTTCATTGTTTTCGTGTACTGCTCTAAAACACAGAGTAAAAATTAATTGTAACTAATTTTTCTAAATTTTTATTTACATATGTAATAGTTCTTTTCTTGTAGTCGTTCACAAATACGTAGGTTTATCAAATTTACCTTTAATATCGTACAAAAAAGTTGTTTCTTAAGCATATTTTTCTTTGATTAATAATTTAAATAACTAATCACACATTTTCTTCGTATATATTTCCATTACAGCGAGAATCAGGTTAATCAGTTATTAAATCATCATTGTGTATACAGCAATTTTTCCCGAGATTTTAAGATTATTCATAGAGAAACATTATTTAACTCTATACGTAAAAAAATTTATTAATGTTTTTCTTTGAGTAGAATCTTTCTGAGTTACGTGAAATTTAATATTCATTTGCATACAACTTAGCCTACATACTGACAATATTTTATAATGTTTATGTAAAAATTTATATATGAAATACTTCTAAATATATTTTATAAATCATCTTGTATGTGATGTATAATTATATAATGTTTTGACTTACGTTTCGATGGTAAGTTGTGCAAATTGATCACAAATAAGCTTCATACACAAATCCTTAAAGACGACTGAACTATTCCTTCTTGTAATGACCGATAAAGTTCCATCTCTATATTTGCATGGGAAATCTAAAACGCATATTTTTGGGCATAAAATCCGAAAGTATTCGAAAAAGCGTTTTGCAAGCTTTCATTAATTTTTGTGATATTATTAATTATAGCGCGACTATATTGATATTGGAATGATCATTATTGTCTAGTTCGCAAATCTACCAAAGAATCTATCATAGAAATATCACAAAGGATGCTATGTACAAAGGATAGTATGTTAACAGTCTTCGTTTACTTAACAATGCTCTGTACGACAGTCTATTAACAGCTACATTCTAACGTTTGTAAATTGGTAAATCTTTACATCAGAGGACACCTCTTCGATCACTTTGACCTTGACATATGATATAAATGTGAAAGTACTGATCAACTTTTCTTATACATTAATCGGCGGTCTCTTATAGTTTCTAAGATATTTAGACTTAAAGGTCTAATTTGTGTAATAAATCTTTCTATTTATGTAAGAAATTTTCTGCTTTAAAATATATTTTACGACCTTCCATGCGAAGCGACCTTCATCCCACTTCCATCGTGCTTTAGGAGCGAACGACTTTCAACGCGAAATTACTCTCGCCCTGCCCCAACCTGCCAAGAGTGCCAAGGGAGCATGAAAAGTCGTGTGCCCCTGATACAAGGGGGGATGAAAGTAGCTTCGCGTGAAAAGTCGTAAAATACATTTTAAACTTTAAAGCAGAAAATTTCAAATATAAACATATGTCAAGGTCAAGGTCATCGAATAACATCATCAAATAACAACATATATCAGAATCAAGCTCATTGAAGAGGTATTCTCTAATCAGTAAGCTATATGCGATTATATTGGTTTCGGAATATTTATAATAGTTCAGTTTGTGAATTTATCATTGAAATATTGAAATTATTTATGATGCGTGTGATGATCTCGGTTCAGTAAGTCTTTCGAAACGATTTCAAATGTTAAATCGCGCCGTATGTAAATTTGCTGAAATTGTTCTATATATATTTATAATTGTACAAATTCCAAACCTAAAAATGTCTCTTTTATCGATTATCTCCTAGTCGGCGAATTATATATGTAAAGTACCTGGTAATGACGTACCACCAGAGTAAGATAGTCCGACGTACATCAGCAACAAGATCGCGCAGACGTAATGCATCTTACTCTCTTATTTAGGAAGTTACCAGTAAGAAAAGACAGTTCTTCTTTTTCTTCTTCTTCTTCTTTGTGTAAAATGGCTCTAGTCTCTATGATCAGAGAAAACTTGGCCAGTCGTATCCCGGACACGTCCAACCTTCCACTAGTAAGTTCACAAAAAAAGAATACAGTTAAAAGCAAAACAAGTTTGTCCACCCTCTCCTCCACTACCATAGAAATTAGAGCTAAAAGAGAGTAGAAGGGAAGACTCACACACATATAGATATGTTAATGGCCTTGAAAAAGGAAAGAAGACGACACAGTAACACCTATATAATACATACATATTTATGTATTTATTTATATGTTATATACGTTTATTTTTACGTAACATACATTTATATATATATACATATATATATATATTCTTCGATTTATTAAACTGCATTATTTATAATAGTTATAAGTCTATTTCATAAAAGCATTTTGTACTTTTGTTACATAGCGCTTAAATTCGTAGTAGAAATAGGACGATTTTCGATTATTAAGTTCGACAGTGGGCTCCAACTTGCTCCTGCATAATGGGATTCATGACGAAAATAAAAAATTTTATTAGTTACACAAAACAAATCAAGATTAATCAGGCTATTCATAACGATAAGATAATTCGAATCCTTTAAGGTGGCCGTCATAGAAGATTTTATGAATTTTTTTACAGCAAGTATCATATTTAAATTCACAGTTACTTTACAACAGGTACCATATTTAAATTTACAGTTCAACTTATTGATCAATGTCAAAATAGTGTAAAAGTATCATTAATTGATGTTTGAAAAAATTACACAGGATCCCGAACACGTCCAACCTTCCACTAGTAAGTTCACAAAAAAAGAATACAGTTAAAAGCAAAACATGTTTGTCCACCCTCTCCCCCACTACCATAGAAATTAGAGCTAAAAGAGAGTAGAAGGGAAGACTCACACACATATAGATATGTTAATGGCCTTGAAAAAGGAAAGAAGACGACACAGTAACACCTATATAATACATACATATTTATGTATTTATTTATATGTTATATACGTGTATTTATACGTAACATACATTTATATATATATATATGTTTTTCGAATTATTAAACTGTATTATTTATGATAATTATAAGTCTATTTCATATAAAAGCATTTTGTACTTTTGTTACATAGCGCTTAAATTCGTATAGTGAAATAGGATGATTTTCGATTATTAAGTTCGACAACGTGGTATCCAACTTGCTCCCGCATAATGGATTCATGACAAAAATAAAAAATGTTATTAGTTACACAAAACAAATCAAGATTAATCAGGCTATTCAAAACGATAAGATAATTCGAATCCTTTAAAGTGGCCATTATAGAAGATTTTATGAATTTTTTTACAGCAGGTATCATATTTAAATTCACAGTTACTTTACAACAGGTACTATATTTAAATTTACAGTTTAACTTATTGATCAATGTCAAGATAGTGTAAAAGTATCATTAATTGATGTTTAAAAAAATTATTTCTACAGATCTTTTAAATTTAACATCAACTGTCAAGTTTGTATTTTTAAACTCAAATTGGACAGTTGATATAAAATATAAAAGGATTTTAGAAATAATTTTTACAGTATTTTTGTAGTGTATTTCATTCTTAGAAGGCCCTCTAGAATTTTGTGTTTTGATCATATTCCAAAAACATTTTTTTATTTAATAAAGGATAAAGTAGCCTAATGTGATAATTTTTAAGAATCAATGTGTTTCAAAATTAGTTTGAGGAGTGATAATATATAAATTTCATAGTTTCATATGCAAATTTAAAGTTTCGGACAGAAATTTCAGTTTCAGTATTTTTTATAGTGTAGTGTTTTAGTTTTTTTTTTAAACCTGTTGTTTCGAGATTAAAATCTTTGTGCCAAATTTTAAACATCCGTACGATAATTTTTTATATTTTTATGTATGCATACACGCACGCACACTCTGACAATCAGATTGATTTTATCAATGGATTCCGAGTTCGAACAGCTCTCTAAATTCTCTGGAGTGAAATCTCACTCTGAAGAGTGAACATTGAGCCAGTCTTGAAAAAGTGCGGTTCAATATTCAATCTTTAAGAGCGAGATCTCACTTTTCATAGTGAAGTTCATTAAAAAAATTTTATGGTTCAGAATCGAAATTCGAGTATTAAAGATTTCCAAATTTTGATTAATATTTTTTTATTTAATAAGTCGAAAAGTAAAACGATTATAAAATATTATAAGTTTATTTATTAAAGTTTTAAGCAGAGGGAGGGGGGGAGAGAGAGAGAGAGAGAATGAGAGGGGGAAGGAGGCTCTGTGGAGAAGAATGTAGAGATTGTAAATATTAAAGATAGGAGGAAGTATCACGGATATTGAGTGGGGTAGGACAGCGGAAGCGGAGGTCAAAGCGGAGAGAGACAGAGAGTAGGAAGCGTAGTTTTAAGTTAGTTTAAGCTAGGTTAAGTGAAATAGGTTAAGAAATAATGTAATGGTGAAGATTGTATGTTGTATATATAACCCCGAGGGGAACAAATAAACTATCTATCTATCTATCTATCTATTGAAGTTTTAAGCAATTTTTCCCAAGAATGAAATAAATTTATTTTTTAATCAACGTTTACATATTTTTCAGTACGATAAATAATATACAAGGAAGGAATTAATTTGATTATCATATTATTTTAGATACATATGCAAAAACTGAAACTCGGCGAACAATTTTCCGACATTGATAGTACTGAAAAAAATGACTTTGATAAAAAATTATCTAGATGCGAGCGAACAAATAAAAGATATACATCTTTCTTCGGTTTCGTATCAAGATTCATGTACGAACCAAAAAAAGCTGTACCATAAAAAAAAATACCAACTTTGCCTACATTGCAAATAGTACATGAGAGATTAAAAACTACTCCGGAAATCATTAAAACCAAAATTTGTCAAGAGATTTGAAGAGAGCAGCACTTCTACGAGAAATTTATCATTTCACGATGATAGTCCTGTAAAGGCCTTTGATATACAATCGGATAACTTATGTTTTGAACAAAAGCTCCATCACTTAAGACAGATAAATGTTTGATACAGTTAAAAAGTAAAAAGTGAGCCTAATCGGATAACTTATGTTTTGAACAAAAGCTCCATCACTTAAGACAGATAAATGTTTGATACAGGTAAAAAGTAAAAAGTGAGCCAATCTTGAAGAATACTGATTCAATTTTTTACCTTCAAGAATGGATTTTACCTTTTAGACTGGCATTTCACTGTAAAAGTTTTAGAAAGTATGTTTCTATCACTTTAAATATTTTTTTAAGACAATAGCTTGAGTAGAAGATTTAAATCAAATTGTAAATCACAGTTTATTTCTGCGATTAGTTTCAAAGTAAACAATTTTCATATTAACGTAATGTTCGTATTACAATTTAGTAAATAATAAATTAAATTTTAGTCACAAATGTAATACATTTTCTTGAATTAAAGTGTTTAATTCTATTGTTTTAAAGCAATATTGAATATTAAACGTATTGAGTAAAAGCAGCAGCGATCTATAGAAACGATTAAAAATAATTCAAATTGAATATAATTTGATATTATAAATATATTAACCTAAAGTATTCTCTCTCTCTCTCTCTCTCTCTCTCTACCCCTATCTCTCTCTGAAGTTTACGTTCTTTTTATTTTTATAAATTGTTCGCAAGATAAACGAAGGATTGGAGCCGAAAGTGAAGACTTGGATGGGTTACTTTGAGTATGATTATCCAGGATTAAAAAGATTACGATTATATCATTGCATGTGGTCATCAAATAAATTTTATTGTACTAACGTGGGTGACTCAGAATAATATATATACATATGACGTAAATCACAAAAGGGCGAGGTGAATTACGCGCAAGATGAACGATGGTACAGAAAATATATCTTTGCACGGGTGAAGTGCGACTTTTACAATGATACGAGTACTCTCAATCGATCGGTGTAAACCGATTACATGTTCGTTGTCTTAGGAATAAATGTTAATGGGAAACAAAGAGGATGAATATATCCTGCCAGATCTATTGCAACTTCGTAAACAAATAAAATCAGATATTCTTTCTAATGTGGTACACATAAAATAACAGGTAATACATAGATCTGACTCATGATATAATAAATATAGACTATAGGCAGAAATAAAAATTCCGTTATTCGTGAATTGCACGTTACTCATCCTCCAGCATACTTTCCATGACACTCTGTATACTATAAACGAGCGAATATGAACCAACAAAATATAAATAAAATATATATATATGTATACATTCTATATACGCCTAAAGCCACAAAAGTTTATTCGGTTCACTGTAGCATTCTATACACGCACGAACTTTACAATACTAAGTATTGATCCTTTGCAAAAATAAAAAAACTAAGATGTTTAAAAACAAATAATTTAGTGCTATACTTTGTTATAATTCGTTTTTAAAATGTAATAAATAATGCTAACTGGATAGAGTCCATCTTTTTTTCAAATCTTCCTCCATCGCATTGAAGACATCGCAGAAATTATTCTTTGCTGTGCAAAGAAGTTGTCTCGATAATTCTTACCAATTTAACTAGGATAAGTACATAATTATGACCGTTCATATCCGATAAAAAATTGTATATTATGTTGCGCTGAGAAAATAGAATAATTTTAATATGTTATTAGGTGTTAAACTTAATTCCTGCCGCTCGCTTAATTTAAAACAATGTTCCACACCTCTAAAAAATCTGAAAAAAAATTTGTTTAATGTAATATGCTAAAAAGTGTGTCAAACTTTTTAGCATATTACATCACAAAAATTTTTTTTTAGATTTTTTAAAGGTGTGGAACATTGTTTTAAATTAAGCGAGCGGCAGGTATTAAGTTCAACACCTAATAAATAAATTAATTTTAATCACACACCCACATACGCACGCTCACACATACATACAATAGTGTAATACAAATAATTCTTTGAAGAAA